ATCTCAATGGTGACGACCATCTCCTATGTATACTCCGTGGCGGTGGTCATTGCCGCCGTGCTCATGGAACAGAATAGTTCGCCGCTTACATTTTTCGATACGCCGCCGATGCTGTTGATCTTCATCTCGCTGGGCCGCTGGCTGGAGCATATAGCCAAGGGTAAGACATCGGAGGCGCTGTCCAAGCTATTGTCCCTGAAGGCAGCCGATGCGCTGCTCGTGGAGATCTCGCCGGACTTTGACATCTTCAGCGAGAAGACCATCTCTGTCGATTATGTGCAGCGTGGCGATGTGCTCAAGGTTATACCCGGCGCCAAGGTGCCCGTTGATGGCAAGGTTCTCTATGGTCATTCCAGCTGCGATGAGTCCCTCATCACCGGTGAATCGATGCCGGTGGCCAAGCGGAAGGGTGCTGTTGTTATCGGTGGCTCCATCAATCGGAACGGTATGCTGCTCGTGGAGGCCACCCATACCGGTGAGAACACAACGCTGGCCCAGATTGTCCGGCTTGTCGAGGAGGCGCAAACATCCAAGGCGCCCATACAACAGCTGGCGGATCGCATTGCCGGCTATTTTGTGCCGTTCGTGGTGGCCATATCGAGCGTCACGCTCATCGGCTGGATCATAGCCGGCTTTGTCAATCCCGATCTGGTGCCAGTTGCCATGGAGCATAAGATGCATATGGATCGCAATACAATTGTCATCAGTTATGCGTTCAAGTGTGCGCTCAGCGTCCTGGCCATTGCCTGTCCCTGTGCCTTGGGCCTGGCCACGCCCACCGCTGTCATGGTTGCCACCGGCACCGGCGCCACCAACGGCGTCCTGGTGAAGGGTGCCACTGCCCTGGAAAATGCCCACAAGGTGAGCACACTAATCCAGCTGCACGTCCATGTTCTCCTGCTCCATAACTATTCCCGCTTAATTTCCTTCCATATCCAATTCTTTCCGCTCCATCTCCTCCATTATCTCATCTCCGCTCGAACTCAATCTCCTCCTACATCATCTCCTCCTGCATCATCTCCTCCTGCATCATCTCCTCCCACACCATCTCCATCTTCGTCTGTAACTCTAACGGCTTCATCATTCATTCCCCCTCCATTCAGGTCAAGACTGTGGTCTTCGACAAGACGGGCACCATCACACACGGCACACCCATGACCAGCCGGGTAACGCTCTTTGTGCCGCCCCAGGTATGCAGTTTGGCCCGCGCCCTGACCATCATTGGCGCCGCCGAGCAGAACAGCGAACATCCGATTGCCTCGGCCATTGTGCACTTTGCCAAGGAGATGCTGAACGTGCAGATTAGCTTTGGCAAGAGCTCGAACTTTCAGTCGGTGCCCGGATGCGGCATACGCGCCACCGTCTCCAACTATGAGCAGGCGCTGCGGCAGGCCTGCAATGCGGAGCGGATCATCAACTATGAGAATCTGTGGCGCACCCATCCGCACAGCGAAATCGCTGTCGATAACGGCGCCAGCATTGACCAGCTCCAGCTGCAGCAAAAGTTCGTGGAGCAACAGCTGCTGGCCCTGGACGGTGCACTCGATCTGGAGCAGCAGCTGAGGCAACAACACCAGCACCAGCCGCAGGAGCAACCGCCGCTAATCGATGGACCCGAAATCCATGTACTCATCGGCAATCGCGAGTGGATGCAGCGCAATGCCATCGAGGTGCCGCTGGAGATCAGCGATTGCATGACCCGCGAGGAGCACAAAGGACACACCGCCGTGCTGTGCGCCCTGAACGGTCAACTGGTCTGCATGTTCGCCGTCGCGGACATGGTCAAGCCGGAGGCCCATCTGGCCGTCTATACGCTCAAGCGCATGGGCATCGATGTGGTGCTCCTGACCGGCGACAACAAGAACACAGCGGCGAGCATAGCCCGAGAGGTGTGTTCCAAGTAGTTGCTTAACTGTTAAACTCTTTCTACAGATTGATTGATTCACTGATTGAGCGAGCCAGCTTTAATTATCACAGTATTTGTTTCACATAATTCCACCTGCAACTGTGGAATATAAGTGGAAAGTGGTTGGTTTTAAAATGCTTTCAGGCTGTAAAGCCGGCTTGTACCTTTAATCTTTCCTTCTTTCTGTTGCACTACGCAATGTCTGATTGATTAACTGATTGATGATTGATTATCATAGTATTTGCATTACGTAATTCCACCTGCAACTGTGGAATATAAGTGGAAAGTGGTTGGTTTTAAAATGCTTTCAGGCTGTAAAGCCGGGCTGTACCTTTAATCTTTCCTTCTTCCTGTTGCTCTACGCAATGTCTGACTGATTAACTGATTGATGATTGATTATCATAGTATTTGCTTTACGTAATTCCATCCGCAACTGTGGAAAATTAGTGGAAAGTGGTTGGTTTTAAGATGCTTTCACCCTGAAGCCGGCTTGTACCTTTAATCTTCCCGTCTTCCTGTTGTCCTACGCAATGTCTGATTGATTAACTGATTGATGATTGATAAGCATAGTATTTGCTTCACATAATTCCACCTGCAACTGTGGAATATTGGCGGAAAGCGGTGGGTTTTAAGATGCCATTGAGGGTGTAAGACAAGGGCTCACATCTTGTATGCCTTCAGGGCCATGGGTGGATTCTAACCCGGCTGTTGATATGCCGGGGTTCGGATATGGCAGATGCTGTCTGTTTTGTGTCCCGTGCTAGGACTTGGCCCGGCCAAAGCCGCGCAATATTCGCCCGAATTGTCGCTGATCTTTCGTTCCGTTGCAGGTGGGCATACGCACCGTCTATGCGGAGGTGCTGCCTTCACACAAGGTGGCCAAAATCCAAAGGATACAACAGCGCGGCATCCGGGTCGCCATGGTGGGCGATGGCGTCAACGACAGCCCCGCCTTGGCCCAGGCCGATGTGGGCATAACAATTGCCGCTGGCACAGATGTGGCCGCCGAGGCGGCGGACATTGTGCTGATGCGCAACGATCTGTTGGACGTGGTCGCCTGCCTGGATCTGTCCCGCTGCACGGTCCGTCGCATACGCTACAATTTCCTGTTCGCCAGCATGTACAATCTGCTGGGCATACCGCTGGCCAGCGGCCTGTTTGCGCCATTCGGTTTCACATTGCAGCCCTGGATGGCATCGGTGGCCATGGCCGCCAGTTCGGTTAGCGTTGTCTGCTCCTCCCTGCTGCTCAAGATGTATCGCAAGCCGACGGCGAAAACGTTGCGCACCGCCGAATACGAGGCGCAGCTGGCCGCGGAGCGTGCCAGACGCTATGGCTCCTCCGAAACGGAACTGGACAAATTGTCGCTGCATCGCGGCCTCGACGATCTGCCCGAGCTATTGAATGGCAAACGGATGGCCGCATTTAAGCGTTCCAATACCTCGCTCATCTCGCGCATCTTCAGCGCCACAGCCAATGGCAATGCCAAGCACGAGGAGGGTCTGCTCCAGGATGCCAACGAGCGGACGCCAAGGATTCTGCAGTCCCGTTATCTGGGCGATACCACCGAGCTGCAAAAGCTCTGAAGCGAGCCACAAGGGATGAGCAAGAGGAAGAGCAACAGCACGCACTGCATATATGTCCATATAGAAATCCTTAACTATAAATCAAACTGTATATATAACAATCAAAAATTAACAAAAATCAAAAATCAACAACAAAAAAAAAACAACTTACTTTACGTTCATTTTTTTTTTTTCCTGTATACATATATATATTAATTTGTTGTTATTTCTCTACTCTTTTTAAGTATTCCTTTTTTTTTTGTATTTTTTTTCGACTTGAGTTTTGTTCATTCAACGTTTATCCTTAAGTTCAACTGTGAAATGTGTGAACAAAAAAAAAAAAAAAATAGGTAAAGAACAAGGACGACGATCTTAAGCAGCATAAACAAATAAACTATTGACTATATTGTTACTTATTGTTAAGTATGCAACAAAATGAAAAATGCCCCAAAAAACAAACCCTCAAGCATAAAGCTCATATCTATATAGCTGCATATATACCCATACCCTTATCCTTACGAAACAATCGAGATTTGTCCTATATACATATACATATACATATATATATATATATGTGTGTGTGTGTGTACCTAGCTTGTATTTACATATGGCATATATATTATTATTCTGGCCAGCTGCGCCCAGTAATTGGGTTGTTAAATTGTTAAACACAGACGCATTTGCTGTAAACAAATATTATTATTAATAATACTGTATCATAATCGAGCATAATTGCAAACTTTAACGAAATTAAATTGATGTTTTTCTCTTTTACTATTATTGTATTTTTATTTTTTTTTTTGTTGGTTAAAACGAACTTTTCGTAAACGCACACCGATGTAAATAAACACAAACACACACAAAGGCACAGACACGTTGTTGAATAAAGAACAAAATATATAATAATAAAAGAAAATAAAATAAACGATCCCATGCCAGCAAATCAACGTGTTATCAATTAATATTGGTAGGTTTTATGGCAAGACTGCGAACTTGTTTGGAAATGGAAAAATTGTGTATTGAATTAAAAATTGTCTAGTTAGAACCAGAATATTGGTTCAAAGATGTGGAGGCACCAGCCAACATATGTTGGGCTTACAGTCATGGATTATGTTACACAATTCGTAACCAAATCCGAGATTGAACTGCGAAGCCCCTTATTTTGGTCATGGGGTTCTCCTAAAAAATTCACAGTGATCTAAGTACTTTAAGCACAATATAATATTCCTTAGTTTATTGTTTAAACTTAACATAGATGGAAAATAATAAGAAAGATGGATGACAACTTATAAGCGACATTTCATGAATTCACAAATATTCGAGCTTTGCCCGAAATAAAACAATAACATTGCAATCATCAATCAATCCGCCAATTTTCCGCACTAGTAGGCGGAATTAAAAATGTAAACTAATCATCAATCAGTCGTCAGTCAGAGCTAAATAGTTTTTTTTTTTTATGGATAATTTATTTGATTTATATAATTTAATAACTGATTAAGGTAAATTTTGTTTTTTTTTTTGTTTTTTTGTTTTGTGTTAAATGTCGTCAGTTACAAATCGCGTGGAAATCGCGAAAGGACAAATGCATTTCTCTAGTTTTAAAACGTCAACAAATGTGTGTGCTTGTGTGTGTACGTGTGTGTGCGAGTGTGTGTGTGTGTGTTAACCTTGGCTAAAAAGACGACGTGCATTTTGAAAATGGCGCGAGCTTTTTGATTGCATTAATTTTACTTGAAAATGTCCCTTTTTAACAATTTGTTGCTATTGCTTTTTGGTGGTTATGTGTGCATTTTGCAGGGTATCTGATGTCGGTGTGAACGGAGTGCGCAAAGTGAGACGCTCACGTGTTCATAAGCGCATCCTCGAGAAGTGTGGTCTTTGTATTGTCCTGCTGATTGGGCAGGTTCGTGGGGAATAGATCCAGATTCGATTTGAAATCGGCAATATCCACAATGGTGGTGGCATCGCCCTCCTGTGGCAGGAACACAACATTTAATTTGTTGGCCAACGCCTGGAAGAGCTCATCCTCATCTTCGTCGGAGCTCTCCATGTCCTCGTCGTTATCATCTTTGTCATCATCATTTGGCTCGGATTGGGTTGGCGTTTTCTCCACATCCGCATCTGCATCTGCATCTGCATCCGCATTCGTCAGCGGCTTTGTCTTTGGCTTGGACGTCTTGTCGGGCAGGTGTCCAATGATCTGTATGGAAACTTTGCGCATATTGGTGATCTCGTTGTCCAGCAGAAAAGCGACTATTTCGCGCTTGGTCAGATTGCGCAGCACCTCAATTTGCTGCCGTCGACGGTCGAACATGTACTCCTCGTTGACAATTTCGTTCCAATTGCGGGACACTTCGGTTTCCAGAGCATTGTCGACGACCTGCTTAAGCTTGATTAGAGAGTCGCGCGTATGATCATAATCCTCCTGGGACATCTCCTCGAGTATTTGCAGCATATTGTTGCGGAACACCTCGATGCGTTTCTCCACGTGACTGGCACTTGTGTTTGTCTCCTGCGAATTAACCATGATCGAGTAGCCGGCAATGCCATAATTCATGCGGACCGTGGCGCCAACATGATAGCCCAGCTGTTCCTTGGTGCGCAGCTGATCGAACAGCGGCTCCTCCACAAACATCATCAGCAGATCGAGAATGCACTCGAGCCGCACATTATTGGGCCCGATCTGATAATAGTTGGTAATCACAGTGTTTGTATCCTGCTCGTTTAGCGCATGGCAGCGTATATAGTGGGCACCTTGTGGCAGCTGCACCGTCCGATCTTCCACATAGTAATGCTCCTGAATGGGCTTACAGCCGAGCCTTTTCAACAGCGTGTTCATCACTTCTTGTGCATGCACCTCCTTATAGTTGCCCTGCACCAGGGCCTGGACGTACAGCTGCTGCGGGAATAAACCAGAAAACTCCTGCAGATCCTTCAGCGTGATCTCATTCAGGCACTTGTACTTATCAATCATCAACCAGCGCATGTGTTCCACCACGCAGAGGCGCACATCCCTAAGGCAGAGAGTAAAAGAGGAAATTGGAATGAGCAACGATCATAAGAGCAAAATATATAGAGAGAGAGAGAGCGACGAAGAGGGAAACAGGGACTCACCTGTTGAGGGCACGTGGCTTGATTAGCGTGTTAAAATAGCTTTTGCGCTGATCCTTGACAAAGGTGGCAAGGATGTTCTCATTAAGCGTTGATTGCACGGTGACCATGGCCTGGGCAATCGACTCGACAAGCAGATGCAGTTTCTCGTTGTAGCCCTCCACCTTCAGAATGAGACCCTTCTCGCCCACGTTGAAGGTATAGTTGAGACCCGCACTGGTGGCCGGATACAATTCCTCGCTAACATGGAACTTGACCAGCTCCTCGTACAAGGCGCACATGGCATCGCTACAGTTGAGAGCAAGAGTGTTTCAATTAAATTCAGTGAGAAAGAGGGAGAGAGAGATAGAGAATGAGACTTACTTTTTGGCACTTTTGCGCTGCAGCGGTGAGATTAGGTAGAAGTACATGTATGCCTCGGGCAGCTCATATTTGTCGTCGGCACGGAACCAGAGCTCACAGATCTCCGATTGTAGCAACTTCTTGGGCGCCTCGGGCAGCAAGGGCTTGCCCATTTTGTGCCAGTAGACGCTAAAGTCTTGGGTGACAAAGCGATTGGCCTCGGGCAAGAAAAGTTCGGGCATCGACTTGGGATCCACCTCGTTCCACAAACGCTGCCACTTTTCCGGCATGGGTATGCTTGTGTATTCGGTGCCAAACCAGTTTTCGCGCTTATCAAACACCAGATCCTCGTATTTGCGTGCAGTCAGCATTAGATTGAACTTGAACTCGTTGAGATGTCCGATTAGATCGGCTAAATGCTGTTCATTGTACTCATAGTACAGATCCTTGCCGGTTAGCACATCCTTGGGCGGAAAGTATTTACAGTTTAGCACCAGCTGCTGCACATTATCCATGGCCGGACGTTGTGGCTGAAAGCGAAAGCCTGTTTCCTCGATGCCCTGCTGCTCGTCGTAGATAGTCCGCAGGGTCTGGGCATCGGCCTGGGCGAGTACCTTCACATAGGCAAACGTGGCGGCCAACACGTCGTCCAGATTCTTGAAGCCCTCATCGGTCAGGTAGATGCACACATTGAACAGGCTGTACATGGAATTGAGATCAAAGCCGTTGTCATCAATGCCAGCGACCAGCTCTAGGGCCCAAAGACGACGGCGCAGATAGGCGCAAAGGCTGCCCTTGCCCTCATAGCCCAGGACAAAGGCCAGAAACTGATCCGGCTTGCTGCGATAATACTGGCGCACACTGGGCAGCACCCAGGTCAGCTCCAGCTTGCACACGTTCTCCACGGGCTTCACGAAGAACGCATGCTCATAGAACTCGGCGCGAAAGGCATCTTTGTAGCTGAACTTGCTCAGATCCGGCGCCAGCACCCCATTGCTGGGTATATCGGCAAAGTGGCGCAACACTAGCGTCTCCAGCTCATCGATAGGCAGGCGGGCCTGCAGGCACAAGAACATACGATTGGCGGCATAATGATCGCGCCGAATCTCGTGCAGCAGCTGATGCAGCGCCTGGTCGTCGACATTATCCTTGAGGGTCTTCAGATTGCCCCATGCAAAAGTGCCGTGTGGATAGCCATCTGTGGCCAGGCTGGCCAGCAGCTGGTCACGACGTGTCTCATCCTCCTGAACGATCTGCTGGAACTCCGAGTCAACAGAGCAGCGTTCGCGCTGCATGGCCTCCTGCTTCATCAGCGGGTGCTTCATCAGTGCCGTGAAATAGTCGAGACTTGAGTCTAAATGCTTTTCGGCCACCTCAAAGTAGAAGACCGTGTCCTCGCAGTCTGTGATGGCATTAGTGAAACCGCCGCACTTCTTGATGTGTGCATCAAAGATGTTCTCTTCGGGATACTTCTCAGAGCCCATGAAGATCATGTGCTCCAGGAAATGCGCCAACCCCTGATATTCGCGGGGCTCCGCGAACGATCCGTAATCCATCAGGATGGCACAGGCAGCCAGCTTTCCGTCGCCCACCTCACTGTCCGAATCGGAGGAGCTGCGCCCGCTGCCCGATGTGGACGATGTGAATTCGCTAGAGCTGTTTGTACTCTCAGTCTCGCCAGATGTCTCGTCTCCCTCGCCCATCGATGATTCCGATGTGGTGAAGCCATCGTGCGGCACCGGACTCGGATCCGAAATGATAAGCGCATGTAGGCCATTGGGCAACAGAATTGTTCTACAAATTAATGACAGGTTAAATATAAGTTGCATAAAAACAATTGCACATATAGAAACCAACCTAAACCATAAGACTTTTACCTTAATCTCTACTGAGCCGATCTCTAACCTAAGCCTCTGTACATGCGAGATACATTACAATATGGATTATATGTGAATATTTCCATATCAAGGTTCATGCATTATTTAATGTACAAGTTTAAAAACTGGTTTGCAGCCTATCTAACAATATTTGAACCTTTCCCACGCCTCCCAGAGGTTCAGCAAAGATCTTTCAAAATCGAGTGAGACACCACCCTGGGCAGCATTCAGCTCATGTGGCATTCAATAAATGTCTTACGGTCGCCTTTCCAAGCGCCAAAACAAACAACAAACATGAATTTCTGCTGGCTCACAAATGTGCTTGCAATACATATGCAACGTGTGCATGCGTGTGGATTAATTTAATGTGTCGAGCAGTTGGCACTTACTTGTAGATCTTTTTGTCGGTAGCCGATTTGTCGGGTATATCCAAATACTGGATGTTATCTGCCATCGTGCGGTGCGTTTGTTGAAAACTCTTTGTGGTTGCTATTAGCGGTTTATTGCTACGGTTTGCGTATCGAGTGAATTGCCCGTCCGACGACAGTGACAGTTGTAAATGGCACTGGGAATTTGTTCTGATTGTCACTGACGACGACAATGATGTGACTGATGATAGGCAAAATTTGAAGCACCGACTGCTGCGGTGTAGCCAGAGCATGCACAGTCTGTATACAGTTAATTCGCAGGTTGCTTTTTTTTTTTACAATTTTATTGTTTTGTTATTTCCTGAATCGGCCACAACTCACCGTCCGCCGCGTGTTTGCCGGCCAAGTAATTTTTTCGCTGGTGTTGACAAGTAGAAACTTATCCAATACCGATGCCGATATTACAACTGCATTTTACAGCACTATACACACAATTGGTATCGAATTATCGGCATATTAAAATTAACCGGCAATAATGACAAGCACACTGCGAGCAAATTAATTAACAAGTTAATGACTTTTACTATGACATTTCGATTAGAAGTGTAAGTAAAATGAATGTTTAATTTTAAATTGGCTTGATTGTTACAACTTATATTGAACTCGTGCGATGACAGTCCACAAATTGACAAATAACTATCGTTGATGGTAAGTGTTGTTAAACACTTCAAGTGCCAGCACTGAGATCAGCTGTTTTTCATGCCAGAGCAATCGGCCGATAACGATAGCTATTTATGACATGCAATGAGTGTGCATGAGTGCGTGTGTTAGTGGCCAGCATATATAGGTATATATATGTATGTATGTATATGTTTATATATATATATGTATATATGTATATATATATATACATTTATGGCGACAACGAAAATAATAAATAAATAAATAAATGCCTTTATATGCGTGCATGTGTGTGCTGATAGATGATGCACAAAGATGACAAATTAATACACACACGTTTGCTCGCTAAATACAAACAGCAACAATACTAACACGCGAGCAATACAAAACCAGCAAAAATCTAAAATCAAATTGGTAAGCGCAACTGATAAACTTATCAAAATCGACGATAATTCTAATTTTGTCTATGCTCGCTATGCTTATGCGCCTCTGTGTGTGCGTGTGTGTGTTCGCCTGAGTACTTTGTGCGTGCATTTACACTCACACACTCTCACATACACACACACACACACACACGCACACATGTATGCACAATCAACTATCTAATGCTTTTGTTGTTCCTATTTCATGTGTTTATGCTGCGGCCACATACAGTTTGCCAACCATTGGAGGCGGCATTGGCTAACGGTTAACAGGCAGCTGCACAGTCTGCGCCCACAGCAAAAGAAACAACAACAAGAACAACAACAGCGACTCAGACGCAGACAGGAAATAAGAAATAATTAAATATTCCAAGTACGTGCGACCATATTGAAGCCACAAAATTTTCGCCCTGGCCGAATCAAGCAGCAACAGTAGCTACAACAACAACAACAACAACAATTATAGCAGCAACTACAAGCAGTGGCTGAGGATGGCCACTGGCAGCAACGATATGCCAGACCATCGGAAGCGCAACACATTCACCAGCTACGTGGCGCCCATGGCTGGGGATGTGCGCGCCACAGCGGATACGAACGAATGGTGCCTGCCCAGTGATTTGCGTGATGTGCATTTGGCCAAGCCCCGACTGCTGGCAGGCGAACAGATAGTCGCCTCTGCGCCCGCCTACATGTACTCGCCGATTGCGCCCATGGAGGGCAGCAGCGGCAGTGGGAACAGCAGTGGCAGTGGCACTGTGACTGGGATTGGCAACAGCAACAATGGGCAGAGCAACAATAGCAATAACAGCAATGGCAGCAACAGCATGGGCAGAAGCCGAAGCAGCCACAAGGAGGCCACCTTTGGCCTGCTCAGCGTTACCAATTTTAAGCTGGCGTTTGTGCCGTTGCATGGACGTGCCACGCTTTCGGCGCCGCTGGCCAGCGATCTGTATCAGGAGAATGCGTATTTGGGCCGCAACGAGGTGACGCTTAATAATATCGATCAGATCTATACGATTGCGGAGCAGGGGCGTGCGGCAAGCGCGCTGCAGGCGGCGCGCATGGCCAGCACAAGCAGCCGGCGCAAAAAGCTGGAGCCGGCCAAGCAGCACAACATCAACGGTCGCATCGTGGCACTGCATATTATCTGCAAGAACTTTCGCCTGCTCAAGTTCGCGTTCCAGCAGCAGGACTCAAAGCTGAGCGGCGCCAGTGATTATGGTAAACTTATTGCCTCGGCGCTGGCACGTTTCGCCTATCCGATGCGACATGATCTTAGCTTTGCGTACGCCTACCGTGAGCCTTACTATTCCACGCTGGTCGGCGTCAGCATGTACGGCAGCAAGAACGATTGGGCGCGTGAGCTGATACGCTGCGGCGCCAGCGAGTGGCAGGTGATCAGCGCCAGCGCTGTGCCTCAGCTGCAGAATCGACTGCAGGCCGGCAAGTACCAGCTGCCGCCACACTTTGTCATACCCAAGTGCTGTGAGGTGGAGCGTTTCCTGCAGCTATCGTTTGCCTTTTGCGATTCACGTGCCGCCTTCTGGGTCTATAGCTATGGCAGCAGCGCCGCCTCGCTGGTGCGGCTGGCGGAGCTGCAGCCAGCCTCGCAGCAGGATACCAAAATGGAGAACATTATGCTGGAGCTGGTGCGCAAGTGTGATGAGCGCAAACAGCTGAAGCTGATCCAGTTGACCGATCAGCTGCCCAGCATACAGGATGTGCAGCGCGCCTATCAAAAGCTGCGACGTCTGTGCACGCCCGAAACGCCCGAGAAGTTCATGCTGCAGGATGACAAATATCTGGGCCTGCTCGAAAAAACCAATTGGCTTTTGTATGTATCGCTCTGTCTGCGGCATGCCTCCGAAGCAGCTGCCACGTTGCGCGCTTCAATAACCTGTGTGCTGCAGGAGTCGAATGGCCGGGATCTGTGCTGTGTGATCAGCAGTCTGACGCAGCTGCTGCTCGATCCGCATTTTCGCACCATCGATGGCTTTCAGTCGCTGGTGCAGAAGGAGTGGGTGGCCTTGGAGCATCCCTTCCAGCGGCGACTCGGACATGTGTATGTATCAACAGGCGAACAGGCGCCGGACAGCGAACAGAGTCCCGTCTTTTTGCTGTATCTGGATTGTGTCTGGCAGCTGTTGCAGCAGTTCCCGGATGAGTTTGAATTCTCGCAAACGTATCTGACAACACTGTGGGATGCCTGCTTTATGCCCATCTTTGACACCTTCCAGTTTGATAGCCAGGCGCAGCGAACACGAGCCGTTAACGAGGGCCGTCTGGTCTTGCGACCCGTCTGGGACTGGGGCGAGCAGTTCTCCGACAAGGACAAGATGTTCTTCAGCAATCCATTGTACCAGCGCCAGCGTGGCGATTTGGTTGCCACCCAAAACCATCGACGCTCCTTGGCTGTGGGCGGCCACAAGCTGTTGGCGTCGGCTGCCGGCGGAGGTGGCGTCGGTCCAGGTGCAGGTGCTGCCACAGGAACAGCATCTCCATCACGCTACACCATCAATCCGCAGCTGTTTGCCACGCAATCGAGTGTGCCGCAGGATCGTTACCTGCAGCCGGCGCATCGCATACTCGATCTGTCTGTGTGGGATCAGTGCTATTATCGTTGGCTGCCCGTGCTGGATATACGAGGCGGTGGCCAACCGCAGGTGGATCTCTTTCATCGCCTGCTGCTGAGCAACATAGCCAAGGTGCAGCGTTGCCTGGAGTTGCAGAACTTCGAGGAGCTGCCCGATGCCTACTACGATGCGTTGGGCGAGCAGCGACCCAGCCAGCAGCAGCAGCAGCAGCAAGAGGAGCCCGTCGAGTATGTGGACGGCGTCGAGCGACGTCGCAAATCGATGCCAGGCACCGGCGCCGGAACACCTGGGTCCTCAGCAAATGGCCTGAATGTCGTTAATGGTGGGCCATTGCAGCTATCGACGCTATCCTCATTCTTTCCATTTGGCAACCCCATTGCTGGCGATGCGCCGCACGAGCTTTACGACATTCTGAGCAACAGCAGCGAGCTGTTACTGGACACCTCGTCTATACTGGACAAGTCATCGATTGTATGAGCCGTGCTGGAATGTTGCTCAAAAGTAGTTGGCCACACGCTACTCGCCACTCGCTACTCGTTACTCGCTGCAACGAGTTGTTCAACACTCGCTCTGGGCGGACCTTGTTCCCATTGCTATTGCTGGTTATTTTCAAAGCTGAACTTTAGAAGTATTACAAATCTACTTTTTTATAACTCCACACACACACACACACGTACACACATAAATTTATATATATACACACATACATATATATAGCTATATATATATATATATTTGTATGGCGTATCGCGTTTAACACTTTTTATTATTGTTTACTAATAGGCAAGTTATATCGCATAAGTCCCTTTTGTTTTTTTTTTTTTGTAATGTATGTATGTAACTATTTCGAAAAAGAAAAGCAACTTATTACCTACAAATCGAACGAAACAAAACAACAATAATAATTATTAATAAACAAAAGAGAAAAACAAAAGAAAATGTTTATATAACGGTAACAACAAATGTTATGTGCAAGCAATATATATACATACAGATGTATGTAAAACAAAATAACACCAACTAAATCAACATGTATTATATATATTATATATTGTAATATTTAAAAATAAATGAAACACTGTAAAAACATAAACGGCCTGCAGAGGGTTAATTTCTAAATGCAGCGCATGCAACTGTAAATGGCCACAGCTCGGCCTCAACGCAATAAGCTACTGCAGGCAGCAGGCAACGGTAAATGTCAAAAGTTGTGCACAAAATACATACATACATACATACATGAGAAGACCGAAGACCAAAAAAACACTCAACGAGCAGCGATGGGGAGGTTATGTTCCTAAAAGCTGCTGCAGGCAACGGTAAATTGTAAAATTTAAAGCTCAGCTTTGCGTGCAGCGTACAGTATTCAAAATGGCCGATCATCAGCAGCAGCAACAACAACAAGAACAGGAACCGCAGCAGACTCCCGCAAGCGGGACACGCCAGCGCCAGCGCCGACGCTCGCCGCCGCCCATGCCGTCGGACGATGTGATGCGCAATACGATAGCGCGCTGCTTGACGCAGATCGTTGTGAATATGCAAAATGCGGATATACAGCAAAGGTGTCGCGAGCTTTTGCAGGTTGAAGATTTGACTCAGGGCGCGCACATCAGAATTCTGGCTGCGCTGGAGCAGATCGATGGGCAGCGCGAACAGCGGGAACGGGCGGCCAACGAGCGCAGGCAGCGGCGTGCAAATAAATCAATTTGATATACAATATGCATTTGATAATGTGTACCTATATTAAATAAACATTTAATAATAGAACGTTGTGATTAGCAATTAATTTGTAACATTTTTGGGTTGACTGGAGTGGGGCGTTAGGGGGGGGGGGGGGTTTACTTTTTGGCTGCATCGTTGGCCTCTGCCGCCTTGAGCAGCTCCGAGACAATGCCCACCTTTTTGAGCTCCTCGATCAGGTCGCCGTTTTGATGCATCTGCATCAGAATATCACAGCCCCCGACAAATTCACCATTGATAAACACCTGCGGTATGGTTGGCCAATCCGTGTAGTCCTTAACGCCTGATTTGAGTAAATATCGATTCAGATATGTACAGGTTAGGTTGCCACAATGGGCGACACTTACCCTGGCGCAGCGCCTCGTTCTCTAGAACATCGTGTGCATCGTATGGAACTCCATGCATGCGCATTATTTGCACCACCGCATTGCTGAAGCCGCAGCGCGGCGCTTGTGGATTACCTTTCATGAATACGACCACCTTGTTGGTACGCACCAGCTTCTCAAGTGTGTCCTTGTCCAATGCGGCCGGCGGAGCGGCTGCGTCTGCACTATACCAGCGGCGTGTAGCTGTCAGCGCTGGCACTGTACGTACTGTTGTTGCCAAATTGCTGGCATAGCTCGGACGCAATAGAATTTGGCAAATTCTGTTCATATTTGTTTATATATTTTCACAAGACTCAACTTTTTGTCAATTAAAATGAATGTTGTTTTGTAATGAATTGTATGTTATGTTGACGCAATAGGAGCTAACACTGACGCAATTTAGAGTAACTGTTAGCGCAAAAATACCATTCACTCAACATTCCGTTAACATAGGCGGCACTTTGCTGCTGCTGCTTCTTCCTCTTACGTGTATCTTTTTGAATTTTCTAGCGCGCAAGGCCTGTTCGTTTCCAATTAGAATACATATATGTTAGCATTTCCATAAATATTTTATGTATTCATAGATAGATGTCTTTTTGTACATGTAAAGGTAGCAACTGCATATATATTGACTTTTAAATACCAACTTTTAAATACCATTCCAACACACTTTCTTTTAACCGATGTGTAGTGCTGGGAAACGTTTTTGTAACGTTTATTTAAAAACTTCACAATAACCAATAAATAACAAAATGCGCACTTAATGCCAACGGGTTTCATCAGAAAATTTTTATTTCCAAACTTCATAAATATCTTTTACAATTTGAATTTGTTTATATTTTTGTTTTTTTTTTTTTTCTTTTCAAGCGAGGATTCTGCTGTTTCGTTTTCGGTTTGGTTTGAAGCTTAATTTTTCTTTTCTTAGCTTGAATGCAATCTTGCGTTTCAGAAAATCAAAATCAAATTAACATACTTTTATACCTCATTTACAAAAAATTAATAAAGAAGAAAACACAATTAAGTTGTTGTACAGATATATATGCATATATGTATAGAATATATGTATACCATATGTGTGACTACTTTCGTTCAATTTTCTATATTTTTCGTAAGGAAATTGCTTTTCAAAATATGCTTATTAAAACTTAAGTATTTGCATTATATTGATGTTAATATGTCTTATATGGAACATAAATCAAATCACACACCTAAGTTTACATTTTCTTTTGTTTATATTTTATGTGCCAGCAAGGCTTAAGATCTATTGTGAAGATCAAAGTAATTGCATTAACTGAGGGAGTTTTGAGTTTGTTTCTTGCGCGAAAAATAATTTAAAAACCAAAACCCAAAGGGTTTGAAATGTAAATGAAATGTAAACAGGTTCTTAAGTGTGAATAATAAGAAGGTATTTTTTTTTAAATGTATTTTATATATTTTTTTGTATTGTGTATTGATGTAAAGTTGAAATAAATATTTTGTGATTGGATAGTGCAAAAGCGGACACATCAGCTATCAGGTTCTTGTTGTTGTTGTTGAGCAATCGATGTGCAGTTATCGATAAATAATAAAGTTGGTGTAAAATGATAATAATCATAATAATAATAATAGTAATGATAATAATAGTGTAATACATAGTTATATAGTATGTATATAATCATAAGTTCATACGCAGCATTTTTAAATAGAAGTTCATTTTCTTTACTTTCATTTTCGTTTCTCATTTTCGGGATCTTTTTGCTTTATTCTTCTTTAATTCATTATTTGTAAACTATAATTGTATGTAGTCGTAATAATAATATTTATACAGTTGCTTGCTGTTATTATTATTTTTTTCTTTTTTTTTTATAAGTGCATAATAATATATTAATCATATTAATTAAGTGCATACATAAATTTGTTTATGCATGTCTTCATACGCCAACGGGCACTTGTACCCTGTATTTGTATGACAAGAAAACAAAACAAAAAAAAAAAAGAAAAGTAGAAGCTATTTTAATTATGTCATCGTCCGGTTTTCACCGAAACAATATAAACTATATCAATTATGGCCCCTAGCGTGGGTTAACTTTGTAACAATTGTTCGTTCTAGTATCGAATACGTACGCTAAATAAAATTTATTTAAACATTTCAAAACAAATCAAAACACAAAATTGACACATTTCACTACTACATCGGCAAAATTTTGCTTTGCAAGCCTCCGCAGGCCCGCACACAGACGTAGCTCACAGACAAGCGCGACAAGGCGGCCGCAGTGTACACTCGCGGCGAGTCACCAATACAGATGCAATGGCATGTCTGTGTCTGTGTGCGTTAGTGCGCTAACGCAGCTAGCCGAAATTTTGCTGGTAAATACATATGTATGTGCCTACATTGAGGACTTTTTGTTGTTGTTGTGTTTTTAAGTTTTAGCTTTATACTTTTGACTAAGAGGCTATGCCTCTATCTAATGTATACAAACAAATAAATTTTTGTTAGAGATGTACAATTTGTTGACGTTTTTTCTTTGTTTTAGTTTCATTTTCATTTTCATTTTTTTTTTTTTTTTTTTTGGGAGGGGGGGGGGGGGGGTTAACATGGTTTTTGGGGGATTGGCACAGTATATTACATATAATACAAGGGTTATCGGTTGCGTTTGCCTTTTTTTTTTTAAGTGCACAAGATGACATATTTGCTAAAGAATTCGTATAACTTACATATCGAACTTCAAAAAAGATTGTGGTTGGTTGGAATTGGATGGGGAGGGGGGAGGGGGTGGGGTCGGAAAGGGTAGCAACAGCAACTTAGGCCACAGCATGCAAATTTTGTAAAATCTTATAAGGAGAGTTATATGCTCTCTCTCTCCCTCTCTCGTGTTGACAAACTAAATATGAAAACTAAGCAACTTTGAGAGTTGTACCATTTGCAATTAAATGTTTTTTTTGTTGTGTTTTTTTTTTTAGATTAGTTTTTTAGTTTATCACATTTATAAAACGCTCGCAATTTTTCTAAATAGATATACATGATCATAGGTAACTCGATTAAATATTTATATATATGTATGTTTGTATATATATTAATATGCATTCATACAGTTATATATCAAATTAGTAGCATTACCTTGTTCAAGTTAACTAAAAGTTGTCAATTTTTCTTCGTTAATAGCAGTTTTTTTTTTTCATTTCTTTTAGGGCACATTCAAGTGAAATAAACGCTTTTTGGACTGTTCTTAACAATTAAAAATACAATCATTTTTCTTTCTTTTTTGCTTAACTTAGTATTTTTAAAATTTCATTTTGTTTTTTTTTTTTTTTTTTAGTATTTCTCTTGTTTTTGCAACAACTACAATGCACATGCAAACAGAAATGATAAATTGTTGGAGTGCTAGCTAAAAGAACTCAATTTGAAACTTGTACGCACTATGTTGGTATTCTTTCTCAATATTTCGTTTTACTAAAAGCGGTATTTTTGGTATTTTTTAGTTCTTTCTTTTTTATTTCTTTTTTTTTGGCTAACTGTCTTGTAAAATTCGCGAAAGTATTTTTCTGTCAGACGAAGTCGGACGCTTCGTTTACTCGGTTGATATAAAGTTTAACAAGTTCGGATTTTTCGTTATAGTTGGAATGGAACTGCAATCGGGCCCATATAAAAAACCAATACATGGGGGAGTATACATATATAACTGCCGGTAGGGGTGTTTCATTTCGAATTGCTCACACTAAAAAGAGTTATGACATTTATAAACGCTTATATTTACTTTTCATTGTGTTTCGTTTTTTTTTTTTAGCAGATAATTGTTTTTGGTATTTGTTTTTTTTATATATATTATAATTTATTTGAGGTTATGCACATAGATCGTGTCGCAGTAAATGGGATGTACATTTAGTTGATTTCTGGGTTTTAAGCTTTCTGTTTAAGATATTTTGCATTTATTCAAAATAAATGCTGTTTATCTGTTTACTTATTTTTTTTTTTTAGTTTTTCGAACTTCTTTTGAAAAATACAAACATTTTTTTTTGCTGGTAGAGCACAGCGTATTAGGCCTGTCCGTAGTTTATCATGCATTTAAATACGTTTTTCTCTTTTTCGCTCTAGCTTATATAATTTATGTTCATTTTTGTTTTCTTTTTTTTTCGTATGTGGGTATTTTGTTGTTTTGTTTGGATAGTATTATTTGGTATTTATTTGCTAAGCTGTAGGTGGAAAATCGGAAACACATATGTATATGTTAAGTATTTTCTTTCTTGAAACATACGTACAACTAACGTATATATATATATATATATATATATATATATATATATATACTGTGGTTTCTAATTTTTCTCTTTCTGCTCTAAAAAAAAACATAGTTCTAAATAACAGTTACAAATAATAAATATAAGAAAAATTAAACAAAAATAAATAAAAAAAAGTACATTACTAAGGAAAAATAAAAGCGCTTTGCGCATTATATTTTCGTGATCCATGTATTTGAGAACTGGATATATATATATTTGTTGTTGTTTTTTTTTTTTTTTTTGGATACTTATGGCATGGTCTAAGCTTATCGGTGTACCGTTTTGCATCATATATAAATACCAAAAGGTTTGGTATTTTCCAAAATACCAACAGGTTTGGTATTTTCTCAAAAAAAAAAATTGTTATTTTTTACCATTAAGATTTATATAATCGTGTTTTTTTTTTGTTTTTCTTGGTAAGTAAATATGATTTGATTAGTATTTTTTGCGGTTTTACAGCAAATAATTAAATGTGGTTTTCCAAGTGTTTGGAGAAAATTTTGCATTCTTTTTGTTTTTTGAAATATATATATATATATTTTTTTTTTCCAACAATTAGATGTATTATCTATGCATATAGATATTTTTGGATAGTTATATATGCCTCGTGTTATAACGACTTAAATAAGTATAAAGCACAAAGTGTTGACTTTCTTTTCATTACAGTTTTTGAATTCTTTTCTTCAGCGTAGATTTACAATTTCTAAATAATAGGCGTAGAACTAAACTTCTTTTCTTTTTTTTTGTTTAAAAGATTCGCTTTAAATATTTTTGCTGTTGTTGTTGTTGTTACCGTTGTTACCGTTGTTGTTTAAGCATAAAATTCCGTTTTTCCTTGGGTCTTATATGCCTCCTCCTCGATTTTGTACATATCCATAAGCTGTTAATGTGGTTTGTTGTTAAGTTAGGATTGATCAGTGCGATGACAGCGGCGGCATGATATAAAATATTTTGAGTAAGGGTAAGAGAAAAAACGGGAGAAAAGAGAGAGAGAGAGAGAGAGAAAAACGAGATTTGGTTAAATTTTGACATGATCTTGGCATAATGTTAGGGCGCACAGCAAAACATTTAGCGAATAGCAGTAATTGTTAAATGTTCATGTTAAATGTTAAATGTTCATGTTAAATGTTTATGTTAAATGATATAAGGAATTTAACATTTAATGTGAAATCTATGAAATTGAAAAGAGTGAAGTTGAAAGTGGAAGCGGATGGAGACAGACAGAGAAAGAGCGAGAGAGAGAGAGAGAGAGAGAGAGAGAGAGAGAGAGAGAGAGAGAGAGAGAGAGAGAAAGAGAGAGAGAGACAGAGAGTGCGACAGAGAGTGTAACTGATTTTGCTGGGGTTCAAGCTAACTGCCAAGTACAATACTAGAGTTTTGGATGAAACCGAAACCATAAACAAAGCACAAAATCGAAATCATTGAACAAATTCAAAATTGACAAATCAAAATGTTTAAAAAGCTTGTTGAGGCGTGGAAATTGTTGGTGAATGCTGACATTAAAACAACAACAAAATTAAAGACAAAGCAAAACCAACAACAACAACAGAATATAATGCAATGCAATATGTTAGCAAATTAGGTTAAACATAAATACATATATATACATATATATATAGATATACGTATATATATACATATATAGAGAAAAAAATTGATATAGATAATTACATCTTAGCAGTTAGTAAAAATTTAGCAGCTACTCATTATTCTTTTGAAATTTGAGATTATTCGATTTTTATCGTTTATGTGTTATCTTTTTTTCGTTCTCAATTGCAAATAGTTGTTTTGTAGCGACTAGAACGTTGTGTGTGTTGGGGCGGGGGAGTACTCGCTACTCGTTACTCGTTAGTTTTGCTACTCGGCTACAATTAATTAGCAGATGGATACGAAACAGAGGCTGCACTTAGCGAAACGGTTCATCGGTTGGCGGCTAACGGTTAACGGTTAACGGCTAACGGTCAACGCATTTGGTATTATTGTTATCGATATTATTTTTGTCTAAAGTACAGTCTCAATACTGGTTATAGTGTCGGTTTGCGGCCGTGTTTCATTTAGTACCTTTTGCACGTCGGTACTAAATTCCTCAACTTGCTTAGCATGCGCCAATTTCAATTTCTCCATGGCGCGACCCTGCTTAACGCCGATTTGCTGTGAATAACGATAAACGATAATAATTAGTATTGCATAATTGTGTTAAATAATGGGGAAAGGAGTCGTAGTCATGGGAACTTATAGACAAGTCATAGGGAATATAATATATCGAATATGAAAGACGAAGAGGAATAGAATAAATATATAGAAAACATATTGAGGAAAGGAGAGAAATTATTATGTGTATAGATAAGAGAGGATTAAAGGAGCAATTGGGAGAGAAACTCGGGAAATATTATGGAATGCAAGCTAGCGAAAGAGATTAAGAGGTACTTGAGAGGGAATAAATAAAGTAATAGGAAAATATAATAGCTGGCAGAGACAAGAAACCAGAGGATATTTAGTCAAAGGCGCCAGGATATCGGAACTGTTTTGACTTAAATAAGGAAGAACAATGAATAAGGGGATAAGGAGCGGCTAGGACCGGCCTCTAGATCTATAAAGAAGCAAATAGCTTAACAGGTTATAAGGAGCTCGGAGGCAGCCAGTACTAGACGAAGGCACTACAAAGGCCCATGGTCTAGAGGGTTAGATGGGGAGGGAGGAGGAGCATATGGTGGGGCTTACCTTTTTCTCCTCCATAAAGCGCTTGACATTGTTCTGTCGCTTCTCGCGCAGACGTCGATCCTTCTCGTTTTTGGTCTTCAATGTTTTGTCATTTTGGACTTCCTTGGCGGTCTCGGCGGAGGTCTTTGCCTGCTTGGCATTCAGTTCCTTGATATCTCTGCATGGGATTTGTTTCGAGATAAGTACATATAAGTAAAAGGGTTAAGCGAATCTGTTACCTGGCATGACGTTCCTCGAGCTGTTTTATTTGCGCCGCCTGCACCGTTAACATGAGCGCCTTCATGGCATCCTGCGAGTCCTGGACATGCTGGCGCAGCATGTCCCACTCCTCCTTGCGATGGCGTGCAATCATATCGGTCCACTGCTTGGTCTGATCGTTAATTGCATTCTTGATGTTCGCATCGTTGCGTATATCATCTTTGCTCTTGCCCTTGATCAGCTTATCGATGGCCGCATTTTGGGTCTTCTGCACGGAGGTGCGCTCCTTGGCATGCTTCTTGCGCAGCGTATCTAGCTCCTTGATCTGCTTCTTGCCAACCTTCTGAAAGCCCTTCTCCTGGCGCAGCGATTCGAGTGTGACCGGCTCAAAGACAAGCGGCGGCTCCTTTTTCTCCTCCTCTTTGGCCTTGCCGGCATCGCGAGCGGCACCGCCGCTTTGCTCCTCAATGCCCAGGGCCTTCATTTGTTCGTTCTGCTGTTTGGCAGCGCCGGCAAAACCGCGCGGATCCGACAGCATGGCCATGAAATCCTCAAAGCCATCAGGTACATAAATTTTCAATTCGATGTTCACAAACAACATGGGCAACGACATCGGAAAATTGGCCTCCGTGCGTAGGGAGACATGGCGATAGCCCGGCTGAAGGCCGTCCAGCGGCAGGATGCGCTGTCCAATCATTTTGCCGCTTTCCTCATAGACGCCAAAACGAAGCACCGCCAGATCCGGTAGCACAACCTTGCGGAACACAAAGGGATCCTCGTTGTAGACCGGATTGAGGCCATTGTTAGGCACCAAACGGGTGCGGAATTCTTTCTTGACCGTGTCCGATGGCAGGCCAAACATGTCCACCTCGACGTAGGTGCCCACCTTCTTATCGGACAAGAACTGACCGGCGATTACCTTGACCGAGCACTGGGCCGCAATTACACCATCGACGGGCGCATCTGCAAACGGATCGAAATCCTTGTCAGCGCGACGCATAAAGTCTGGCTTTAGCAGATAGCCACAGCCGCCATTGTACTCGAATTTGCCCTGATTCAGCTGCATGGGCAGATCGGATGTCTGAAAATTCAATGAGACCATCTGGCAGCCGGCATTCCAAAACACCTGCGGCATATAATTGGATGAATCGGCACGGGTGCCCTTCGGATAGATGCGCGACATTTGGCGCTTGTTGTAATTGACAAAATCGATGGAGCTCTGCTTCAGATAGTTCATGCCAGCCGATTCGGCAAACGATGACATATTGTGGGCAATGTTCTTCTCTGTAAAATAGCAAGAACATATCAGATTTTTGAACAAAATATACACATATTGAGGAATCACAAGAATCTTATGATAATATTTGTAATTGCGCCTATCTTCAAATGATTTTCCTTAAGCTTAAATTCCCTGTTTTTTCTTTTTGCGTTTTCACGTTGTTGTACAACACTGTTATTTTTCGAGGCTTTCTGGATAATATTGTCAATCGCATTTGAATCCCTATCTCTATATCTGTTTATCTTTATCTTCTTTTCTTTTATTTCATTCTCTAAACATATCATTCCTCGGGTTTTCTGTTCTGTACCCTGTGTTATTGTAGTGTTGTTCAACACTGCTATTCAAAGAGCCAGCGATATTTGTGAGAAGCGTAATCTCAGTGCGTGTTTTCATCTTAGTCTCTCTCGCTTTGTATTGTCTTTTCACTTTTTTACCAGTTTCGGTTTTTTGCCATCTTCTTCTGTTGGTCTGTTTCCGTTTTTGTGTGTTTTCAACACTATTTTTTAAAAGCTCTCTGATTTGGCTTTCTACGAAATTTGCAAGAATCTTTAAACAGCCCCTCCCTCCCTCTTCCCATATCTATCATCGTCATTTACTTTTCTATAATGTCTTTAAATTCCGCCCCTTAAAGTGAATCTGAAGGATCGCATTTACCAATTGCCTTGTCGAAACCCTGGAATTTGATGGGCTGGGCATAATTGACCATTGAGGATAGCCATGGATGCACATTTGTGGTGGATCCGCTGTAATTAGCCGCAGCTGCCTCCGCTTCGGCACCGCCGGCGCCCTCGGCGGCCGCATCAGCGGCAGCTGCCTCCGGTGCTGGTGCTGGGGCAGCGGCTGCCTCTGGGGGCTTGCCAGCGCTGGCATCCTCCTCGGGATCGTCGTCGGTCTTCAGTTCACCCTTGAGCCACAGCTCCAGCTCGACTTTCTCCACTTCGGGTTTCATGCGTTTGTTTTTGATGAGAATCTTGCGCTTTAGCTTGCACGGCGGCGGCAACGGTAGACCCGGATCCAGCTGGTAATAGATGGAAATTGGATTAGTAAGCGCATGGAGAAGCATACAGAGAGTAGCTGTTGCTGCCTACCGGATGATCGGACAGCGGCTCCTTTAGCAGTAGATCACCAAAGAAGTCATCACAGTATTTAGCTAATTTGTATTGCTGGGCGCGATTGCAATGATTCTCAAAGGAGAGAATCACCGGATACTCCGACGAGACAAAGGCGCAATCCGCAATGGCCTGAATGCAATCCTACAATATGGAATAAACATTAAATATCATATGGAAATTCCCAGATTTACTTCAATAATTTACCTTAAATAAGATTTCCGTACAGTAAGCGTGTCCATGGGTAACAATGGGCTCCTCATCTTCGCCCTTGCCATTCCAGCAGTCCAGCTCAACGCAACGACATCCGGCGAGCAGCGTCTGGCGGTACATCTCGACGGAGCTCTTGCCGCCAATCTGGCGACCCGACAAATACGTATTATGCGAACTATTGATATAGTAATGGGCCAGCGGTTGATCCATTTCCATATAGAAATCAAGCCGATCCAAAAATACGGGCGCATTCTCATCGGACATTAGGTAGCGCTTGAAGCCGTCCAGTGAGAGTTGTACTGAAATTCGGGGCAAGTGGAATAGGTTTTTGGTTATTTTTTGTTGCTTATTTTTCTCTATTTATTCACCTACCGCTCTTCTTCTTCTCCTCGTCCAGCTCATAGTCGTTGATGATCTCCGTGCAGCGCCTCTCCTCATACAGCGGAAAGAGGATCTCGTTCATGCGCGGATCACGTTGCTTTTCGTTCATGAACTGTATGAACTGATCCAGACTGATAAAGTCCTGTTTACCCTTGGTGCTGCACGGACAGAGCAAAAGTGAGATATTTAGGTGTGTAAGAGGAATAGAAGTTACTTCCGTTGGGATATAGATATAGAAATCAGTGAATATAATCGCAGTAACAGTGGATTAACTGGGAACAGGAGACTTGCGGGAATATTTGAATTACTTGGTAGACACACTGTGACTATTGTAATTACTGGGAACAGTTTCAATAGCTGGGTACGGTATACAGGAATAATTAAATTACTAGGAACATTAGATCTAACTGAGTAAGCCAGACATACAGGGAATATTGGAATTACTGGGAACAATTAATATACTGGGAACATAACAATAACTAGATACGGTAGACTTATAGGGAATATTGGAATTACTGGGAACAATAGACATACTGGGAATAGTCGTATATCTGATAACAGTTACCATACTGGGAAATGTACAATTACTAATGAATAATAAGAACACTAGCAATAGTGTGTAAATCGAGAAGCAATTGAATTCGTTTTTTCTAGGTAATTATAAGAAATGGGTTAAGTGAATAAGCTAACTGGAAAGAGTTTTATTTTAAGGAGACGGTTAGGAAGAGCGAATATTTTGACCATAGTAGACAGACAAATTGACAACAGATAAATAAGTGTAAAATACTTTCCACTGTGAGCACGTTTCAGTTACTTACATCGATGTGAATAACTCCTCGATATCGTTGCGAGGACAGACCTTATGGTAGAGCGCATAAAACTTATCGAATGTAAACTGTTCCTTAGTCATGGTAGCACTCTTATCATCCGGCAAACCTGCATCTTTGATGCAGGTGTAGACGAGCTTCTCAGTTTTACCAGATGCGAATGTTTTTGCCAATGTCTTGACCGGTATTTTGCCGCTCTTTTCCACACAATAACTGAGACGCATCCAACTTGAATGATTCAATAGAAATGATTCATTAGTAAAATGTGAGCAGCACACCAAATATTGAACCTATTGAAGATATTACATTTAAACGTGCTGTAAGTACATGCAAAAGTAGATATACCATATGCATACAATATAGGGATTATACTTTACCTTAAAATAATGGAAGATTCATTTTGAGATTCGTATTAATTGTGCGCTGACTATGATTTGTTAATATTTAAAGTTCAGAATTCAAGTAACAAATTCAAATAACAAATTAAAATGCAAATGTAAATAGGATTTATGACAATAGTCTTTAAATAGAAATATAGAAAACATTTACTGGAATCGATATAATAAAGCTCAAATATGTTCGAAATTCATTTATATTTCTTTTATTAGGAAGTTAACTTACACAAAAATCAAATTTCAGAGAGAATTAAGCAGAACTTATATTGGAAAATTTGTGGAAAATGGTTTAAAAAAGAATTTCAATCAGCTATGTTCGAATATATTGGAAAATTTGTGGAAATTGGTTGAGCTAAACTTGCTTGCAATGCAAAAGGTTTTATGAAAGTCAAAGGTTCTACGGGAGAAAGTATCTAGTACGAGTTTATTGGCGGACTGGATATAGTTGACAGAAATTTGCATTGTTCAATCAATCAAAACGATTGCTAGTCGCATTGAAAGGTAATGGGTAAATAATTAAACATTTTTATGATTACAATTAAATTTTCATGTAATTTTAACATAAGGCAAAAGTGTGCTATGCAGCGCTGCGTTACTGAAGTGTAATTAAAATCGATATTGAAATTGTAATTGCAATTTGCAATTAATTGGCAACCCAAATGATCGATGGGGCAAAAGTGCAATACAATTTGCAGGGGCAGCAATTCATTAAAATGCCCTGCGATTAAATTCAATTTGTTTGCCATCTGTGTGTTCCCGCCTCAATGCAGGACATTTACTGGGCATTCATTACTTAGCGAAGGATTTGCGTGCTTCAGTTCTGTTGTGGCAGTGTTATGGGAGCTTGCAGCTGGCTAAGAGCCACGTTTAGCCCAATAACCTCATTTAAATCGGGTCCAGGTCAAGTGATTCAAGTAATTGCAGTTAATGTCTCAAGACTTTCGCCATATAAAATGCAACCGTAAAGGACACAATCAGCAATCAACCACAACAAATTCTCAAACTGGGTCAAACTGGTATTGCCAATACAGACATGATATTGTTGCCTCCGGGTGGCCCATAGAGTTCCTTATGTCAATAGATCATTGGCTGGATTAAAGATGATTTAAGCGATGGCAGCGAGAAGCATTGGACCATAAACTGAGCCTGATTGACAGCTTTGGGTGTGGAATTTCAAAGTGTGAAGTGACGAAACTAAACATATACAGTGGGTGTACAAGGGTACAGCAACAAAGCGAGAAGCGTTGAGAAGTGCTGTGTATGCGGTTTTGAAAGAAGCCTTTTGAGAAGTATATTTAAAATCTCAATGAAACATATAAAACTATAGAAACAGAGCGAGCAGCTACAACATGAATAAAGCGAGAAGCCTAAAGAGAAGTCAAGTGCGTAATAAAGGGAGAAGCGATGGTAACAGAGTGTGGCACGCCAGAGGCACTATTTAACTGGTATTTTAAAGTAACCAAAAGCAAGAATTGACGTAAGAGTCAACAACTAGGCTAAAAGTGCACAGAGAGAAGCGATGCAAGAAGCAAAGCAAACATAGGCAAGGCACTCAGAGAAGCCCAATCAGAGGTAAAGTTAGTAACAAAGCGTGAAGCAATGCAAAAGGAACAGCAATACAGTAGCTCAGCGAGAAACAGCTGGAGAAGCAAAAAGAAGCTTTTGGAAAAGCTGCAGGCGCTGTATATGTGCTCCTAATCTGTTCCTTTAGGGGGGGGGGGGGGGGGGGGGCGTAGGCGAAAAGTGAGTTAAGAGCCTTTCACAAACACGGCAAAAAGCTGCAACAGCAAGGAGAAGCCAAACAATTAGGGACAGAAACGACAAAGCCAAGTCAAATGTGTTGGAAAAGCGAGAAGCGTTCCAAAGTTTTCTACTTAAAGTTTCAGATTTGCAGCAAGGAAAATTGAAAGAAAAGCAAAGTGAGAAGCGAGTTTTGTTTTGTGTGTGTGTGGGTTTTGTGTGTTCGTGTAGCAAAAAAGTTGATTTGGAATTGTTATATTTTTAAGTTCTGTGCTCGTTCATGATTATTTGGCTTATTGTGAAGTCTTCATTGTGTATATATTTTATTTATATTGCTCGAAAGGTGGTTTGTACGCTTCGCTTCTCTCAGCCCGAACCGACTTTTGAGCGCTCATTAATCAAGAGATGTGAGAAAGGAAATGGTTTAATTTTGCTGTACAAAGCTTGAGCAGGGCAAACCAAATAAAATGAATTTTATTTAGTATTGAAACAACGCCAACTATTTTACAGAGTGGGCGGGTCGAAGTGTTCTTAGCTGGCAGCTGATGATGTCGTTTCCGTTTCCGCTGCCCACCTGCCCAGACGCGATTTGTTTAGACAATTCGCCAACAATAATAACATAAAATTTGCAATGTTTTCTTCCCATTGCTACAAGGTGCTTCATTTAGGTGGTATATACGGCATATACTTATTTGTTTGTCTTTTATCTACTTTAGAATTCGAACATCTATTTTTAATTTATGTTCCACAATTTGCTTACGCTTCGCATTGTCTGTTTCTTATACATTTTCAATTTGTTGATTAAGGCGTTGATTTGTCTGCCCAAGACATAGAGGCTATGGGGCATTTAGTGTGTCCTTCATGCTCATGCTTTGAATGTAAAAGGTACAAATTGTGCGAATATAGCAACGAATGGGCCATTTGCCATTTTCTATTTGCCTTCACCCTTTCTACAGCCTAGACATACCCAAAATTGTTTTTATGCTTTCATTCTACAGAAGATTTCGGCAGCCCTCCATGCTCATTGTACTGCAAGAATTAGTTAATTTATTCATTAACAATTGTGAAGGTTTCTACGCTTAAAAACGGGTTTTCTTTGTTACACAATACTTACCAAAAACAGTGTTGCAAACAGACTAATATAATTGATCGATACACTAATTATAAGTATTATCGATATGCAACGATAGGTTTAAGTTTATAGGAGCAACAAAACTTACTGTTTCATGAGATTGGTGCGTGGACACACGTTGGTGGCGCGATTGTTATGCGTTATAAGGCGCAAGTTCTTTTGCCAGCTCTGGTCAAGTGTGGCCAAATGCAAGGCGATAACACGATAACGATAATACAATAACAGACGATAACACAATAACGATAAGAACAAAAATAATGCGCAAGACATGCAGATTAGAAAACAAAATGATATAAATCGAACATAATTATGTACAGTCATCCATTTGACAGAGTAGATAAAAATATGTATACATATATATATATATATATAGTTGATGATTAATGTATGCATATGTACATATGTATATGAATGTATTGAAAATATATAATGTTTAAGTAGAAAGCGTGGGTTTATCGACTGAAACATAGTCAATATTTCTTCTTTTTTTTTTTTTTGTAAACAACACACAAGACGAACAGAGTACCGAGTATTTAAAGTGCGTCTATAGAATTTATGGGAACTGTCAAAGTTCACTTACTGTTTTCTCAGACACATCATGGGACAGATATTATTCGCTTTAACATTATGTGTTATTTTTCGTATGCCATCTAGCCAGATCTATAAGTACAGAGAGTATATGCATGAAATGAGCCGCCCCTCCCCCTCTATAATGAGCTCTGATCATCCGATGGGTATATCTATTTATATTCACCTTAGCTGTTGCCGCATCGGGGCAAATAACATGATGATATGTTATATTGATATAGTCCGTGTTCGAGCATATGGTCAGCGAACGTTTATCTAGTTCCGGTATGTTAGTGCCATTCTTTTTGGTTACCTTATCCAATATCTTCGGATCCTGCGAATGAGACAGATTTTTGTTTTGTTCATATTTTTTTTTGTTATTTTAAGGAATTTAGTTTTTAAGTTTGATATTTAGGTTGTGGCAATTTAATTAAATATAGTCTTATTTCTGCCAGTTGAATAAAATTATTTTTATTTCATTTTTTCTTTTTTGTATTTGAATAAAATAACATTTTTGTTTAGCTCTAGCTTGTTAGTTTTCGCATCATTATAAGAAAACTAACTAGATTTCTAATATAAAAATTAAAATAAAAAAAAAAACTCTCAAGTGCCTGGTAAATGCTCCGCCAGCCAAGGCTACGTGCGGGATTTGAACTTAACCGGTTCGCATCCGAATTTCGAATAGATTTATATTACTTTCGATAAACGATAACTTCCCCTGCTTACAGGCAATCGATTATAATTGTTATCGAAATGCTGTTTTTGAGCAAACCATTTGGCTTTAATGGCTAGAAGCAGAAACTAGACATGTCGCGCTTCTTGCTGAAAGCCAAGCTACATTTCATGGGAATAGTTCATATTTTCCTTAAGATTAATATTTAGTTTGATTCCATCAGCCGCTTGGCTCAAACATAAATTTATTGGCTTGAAAAAGGAACAGCAAGCTGTAAAAGTTAAATTAAAATGTATTTAATAGTGTTTGGGTTGGAAAATGTTACGCATACGGCCCGTGGGCGTATTTTAAATTTGCCGCTTGGCGCTCCTCAAAATTTGTTTATCAGGCCAATCATGGCCATGGGCCCATGGGTGAGGGCAGGGGGCAAGAAGCAAGGGTCTAGAACTTTTTGAACTGCAATTTGGCGTGGCAGCAGCAGCAACAACAAGAACAACAAGAGCAACAGCAACAGCAGCAGCAGCAGCAGCAACATTAATCTCAGATCGCATCATTAATCAAGGCAGCAACAAAGCAAATGTCGTGACTGCGAAAGGGGTGGGCGGGTGTGTATGATGGGGCTGCTCCAGAAGCATTTATCAACATTTGTACATTGAATTAAAAATAAATAAATCGTATAGCGAAATTCCAATAGGAAAATAGCATTTTAATTTCGTATTTGACCTTCAATAGCCGCGTGCGAGAGCATAGTAAAAATAAATAATTCGAATTCCAATGCAAAACTATCGGCAAAAACGAATTTCGCTTTTCAGTATGCCCACTTTGCTCGACTAGGGCATACCCTGTAGACACAACCAATCTATATATGCAGCTATTCTTCTCTAACAAAATTCTTTGATAGAAGTTGAGTGTTAGGCTCGGATTGAGCCCAATTATGTTAAAGCTTAGTTCCACCTGTATACAGAGAAGACATAATGTTTGTAACCTAGTTGGGCACTCCCGACTCCGATATATCGAACAGTCATCCCAAAATCTTAGATCAATGATAGCTGGATAGCCTTCACAATAAAAGCTGATCAAGTTAGAACACTGTACTATAGCCTCAACCTATAACCAACCTTTTAAATTCTATGTCAAATGCCGAAGGGCTGCTAGGATCTCTTGACTAGTGTAACTAAGAAAGTTAACAATCACTTTAACTGATTGTCAAAACAAACATTCGTTATTCATGACTTATTTCTAACTAAAACTGCCAGTCAAAAGCAGGACTTTCTGCTTTCAACCAGTTCGATTATTGGACAAGAAAATAAACGAGCTGCCAACTTATTGTCAAAATATTGCCAACTTGTTGACAGGGTGTTGCCACACTTGCAAACAATTTCAACTCAACGTTAGAAAGGGGACTGTTAAACCAAAAGAAAACAAAGTTTCATTGCATGTAAACAAACTGGTTTATTCAATAGCAAGTGACCTAATGGGGCATACGTGAAAACAAAACAAAAATCTTTCGATTTGCAGTGCAAACTTAACTTGCGGTCAATTGACATAAACTTTGCCATGAATTGAGGTTAAATAACGTTACAGTGAGAAAGTTTAACTGTAATTGGAACAGTTCTATTTTGTTTTGTTTACCGCTATGGTTGCTGCATTTAAAATAGTTAATAGTTGAGCAAATGGGCTTTTTGTTAGCTTCGTGTCGCCATGGAGCTGCAAGCCAAAGCCATGCTGAACAAACAGCCGCTGTCGCAATCAAATTAACTCAAAGGCCGCAGCTGCAGTTGCAGTTGCAGCCGCATTTGGAATGGCAATTGAAATTCGATGGCAATCAAATCGAGTGCAATTTGTTCAGCGAGGCACTTACTGGTGGGGCTTAAAAAATGGCCATTGCATATATTCAAGTGCTAAATAAGTCGGCAAATAAATAAGCCAAAAGCGTTGCCCGCTTTCAGGCGCCGTCGCCCGTTCATTTTCGATTCTCGACGTTGCCAGATCCCAAACAAAAGTCAAAGTGCTGCAAAACGTTGGGCAAATATACAAATGTGTTGCCAGCTACATATTCTTCTTCATCTTCTTCTTTTTGTACAGCTTTGATTGTGGTCGTTGTTGTTATTGTTGCTGCTGCTGCTGCTGTTGTTGCTGTTGCTGCTGTTATTGTTGCCGTTGCTTGACGTACTATACTTCGTCAGCAATGAAGCTTCGTGCATTATTGAAAGGCAACAGCAACAGCAACAAAAACTGCAATAAAGCTTAAATTTTGCGTTTTCAATATTTGTTGGCAGTTTGCTTGAACTACCCAGCAATCGAAATAGTCAACACCAGTGGGCATATTAGTTGGCCGTACTACAATTCAAACCAAATCAAGCAATTGCCAGATATCTGCAGCAGCGTATTTTTGCCAGCAACTAGGCAACAATTATTTCTATGAGAGGCGGCTCCTAAGTGTGATCAAAAAATAAAAACTATTTACATTCAAATGAACCAGTTTTTGGCCAAGTTTAAGATATTTCATTGCTATGCTTGGCTGATTTCAATTCATTTCCCTTTACAGGGTATCTTGGCAGTCTGGCAATCAAACGATGTTAGTTCTTCATTGCCCATTTTCGTTACTTTGGCTTTTGCTTTGCCAAACGAAGCAACTTTTAATGGTTCATTGTGCGACTGGCACTTACGAGTTCCCTTTTGAGTGAATATATATATACACACATGCTTACGTACGTACGTATATGTATTTATATATGTATGCCTGTGTGTGTGTGTGTGTGTGTGTATTTGTAAGTTTGTTGGTTGGTTTGTGTGGCTCGCTGATTTAATATTGATGACCAAACATTTCAAGTGCTGCCTGCACACACACACACATACACACACACACACACACACTCGCACTGACAACGAACAAGAACTTTAAGTGTAGTCTTCCATTTACGATTTTGAGAGGGTTGCCCAAACGATGTTTAACTTTTAATTATGTATAAACGTGTTTGAATTTTTTTTATAAATATTTTTAATTTTTTTTTAAATTTATAAACGATTGTTTAAGGAGCATAGCATATAACTAAAACAAAATTGATTGATCAAGGGAGAGTCCAAACTATAAGAACTATAGTTACCTTATGTGATGTTAATTGTTGACAGTTTTGGGGGGCTTCGGGAAATCCCGCCCTTAAGTGTGGAAAAGGAGCAAAAGTGTTTTGTGTACCAATTGATATTTCTCTTACTTAGCAAAGATGAGCAGAGACCTGAGTGGACTACTAAGAGCTATGGCTGTTAGTGGAAAGTTTTTAGTACAACCCACTTTAAACTCATTTAAAATTAGTCAATCAGTCAGTCAGTGTAAATTTATGTAGATTATATATAAAATGTTTTTTTTTTTTCCAGAAGGCACTCTCTTCAAATATATATGCCAGTAATTCGAGTCTGAAACTAATTATGTTTTTCGAATTGATTAACTTTGAGCTACTTTTCGAGCGACCCTCGCTAGCATGCAAGTGCAAACGGCTCACACACACACACACACACAACCAGATGTACTGTACCTATATAAATATGTATTTAGGTACATATGTGTGTATACTGTTTTGAGTGCCTGTCATTCTCACATACACAAAGCAAAGTTTTGCATTTTGTATTCAACTTTCTTCCTTTTTTCCTTATAATTTTTTTTTTTTAGTTGATTCCTTTATTAATACATATATATATATTTATTTTTTTATTTTTTATTTAGTTTTGTTGTTGCTGCTTTCCTTAAAATTTGAACGTAGTCCTCAGAACTTTTGCATGCTCTCAACTATATAAATTATACAAGGGTATGGGTTCCATTTCTTCTTCTTCTTCGTCTTTTACTTATTTACTTATATTTTCCTTGTAGATTTTGCTTTCTGGACATTATACAAATTTCATGCGGCTGCTGCGGCTGCACACACACACACACACACTTACGCACACACATGCACACATACACACACAACCACACACACACACACAGACACACTTTGGTCCATTTTTCGTATGCTTATCGCTCACTCTCTCATTGGCATTTATTTTGCATTTTAATTGAATTTATTTGGCAGCTGACATGAAAACGCCTTGCTCTAAGAATATATATATATATATGTGTGTGTGTGTGTGTCTGTGTGTGCGTTGGCCAAAAAGGATTGCAGCGAGCTGGAAAGGCTTTAAGCCAAGGGCCACAAGTTGAGCACTTGAAGCAGCAGCAGCAGCAAATGTTCCACTCGACTGGCATTTGGGATTTCGAGTGGGGAACTGGTTCCAGGTATGGGAACTGGAACAGAAAAAGCTTAAGTGAGGCGCAAAAGTAAGTGCTACACTTTGCTTGCCTGTCATTTTACAATCTCCCCCACTCTCTCTCTCCCTCTCCCCCTATCTCTCTCTCTCTCTCTCTCTCTGTCGCTCGATCTGTCTCTTTCACGCTCGCACTTCATACGTGGCGCACTTAAACGTGCGCCGAGAATTGTAAAATCTTTGACACTTTTCAATTTACAAGTGCAATGATGCGCAGCCCTCGTTATTATTTTGTGCGTACTTTGTATAGTACACTGAGCGAAAAAAACGTGAGCAAGATGGCTCTCAAGGAAATAAAAAAAAAAAAAAAAAATAAAAGGCCAGAGTGCTCCAGACGGTTGTGTTAGACTAGCAAATACCTTGAATCCAGAGCCAAGTTAACATTACAAACGTTCTTCATTCATAGCTGCTTTTAATGCATAGCTGCTTTTAAGCCGTATATACTGCATGTGAACCTATATACCAACTTAAGTGTAGCTCTTAGCTCTCGTTTTCGAGTTATGCCTCTAAATTCATAACTGAAAATCGATATTTATCGTTATAATAAAGTTTGGTGGAGATATTGTAATATTATGTATACAGCTATGTAGTGAAAATAGGTCGAAATATCGAAATATTATTTTTATATAGAAATACGATTTAATCGATCTAATGATAATGGTGAGAGATACCTAAATATTATATTGATCGATATATGCATATGGCAGAACATATCGATATATATTGAAAATGCGAGAAAATATCGAAATATTATATTTATCGATGCAACTAAAATGGTAGGCAATTAATTTTCGAGCTGACACAGACGGACAAGATAACGGATATAGCTGGATTGACTTAGCTCGTCAGCCAGTTCAAGATCTATGCACTTTATGGGTTCGGAGATGCTTCCTTCTGCCTGTTAAATATGTTAATATGCATCCTTATTTATAACTTTGAATGGGTTTTGGGCTTAAAATGTATAATATATATAAATATAAGAGTAAATATTTTAAGAGTCTTCGTGAATAACGGTCAGTGTAGTCATAAAGCAAAATGTGCCTATATGTCCTGTATGTGAGTGTGTGTGTGTGTTGTGTGTTGTGTGTGTGTGTGCTTGTCTGCTTGCTTTAGTGTGTTTGTCTGTTAATGTGTCAATGTGTCACTTTGACACTCAATGGTTTTGGCCGGCGGCAGGCGCTAGCTTCACTGCTACGCTGCGCTGGATTTATTAGCCATGGATGTGCCACGCCCACATCCTGGCATGACACATTGCATTTAGTGTGCGTGCTGTTGCTGCTGCTTCTGCAGTTGCGGCTGTTGTTGTTGTTATTGTTGTTGTTGTTGTTGTTGCCACTAAATGCAATTTATGGGCTGCAGCTCGCGCCCATATCTGCCAGTCGCCCGCCACCGACCCCCGTAGCGCTTGTGCAACCGCTCGAGTTTTTATGGCAACAGCACGTGGCCGACTGAGCCAGTGGGGCAAAAGTGCTAAAGTGGTTGCAGCGGTGCCGTGGAACAGCTGCCATTGCGCCTAATTGAGATATGCTGCTCGCTTTGGCACACATTTTAATTGTGTCAGCACCTGTTCAATTGGCAATCCTCAATGCTCAAACCCACAACCCACAACCCACAACCCATAAACCCCAACCGAACCCATCCACGACCCAGCCAAAGCGGCAAAGTCTCAGTCAACCGCACCGCCATCAATATCGATGTGCACCGCCTTGGGTCACAGGATGTGGGTTAATGCACATCAACGTGTAGCCTGTCTACTAAATGGACAACCGGTTTCAACTTAATTGACTCGGTTCAGGTAGAGTGAACGGGTGTGCACGGGTGGGCGGGTGCGGCTGCGGTTGAATGAGTGTGAGGGTGACTGAGTGCACTCTGACCCACACTGGCGGGTGCAAAACTATATGTGTAAGTGTCACATTCGTATACAAGAGTCGTGTTTAAGGGGGCGTGGCTAATAGACTTTGAAATTATGTCACCTATCATCACAACCGACCATATTGAGCAGGTCTATTTCCACAGAAAATGCCTTGAATTGAATTTAATAACAGGATTGCGTTAAATTACTAGAATTTTGCCTGACAATTGAACAGTAGGTTGGACAGCTTGTCGATTCATTATATGGTTATAGAGTTTATTATGAATAATGATTCGCATAATGTTCCCACTTCTGATACCCTCTCGTATAATAGTATAGTAAGAAGTCTTGCACAGCTACTTCTCTCGTTATTTCATATACAAATTTTGTCATTACATATATCTCTATATATATATATATTGAAATAATATAACTTTTCAGTTACTTTGAGTCTTCATTTTCGACTTAAGTTAAAAATAAAGTGAAGTCTACTTCAATTACAGTTGATATTCCCTTATGAACCTTTTGCTCTTATTGCTATTCTGTTACCTCCCCTGAAATTGCTTATGTTACAGTGTCTATTGGCATACTTTAAGCCTTAACAGATAGTTTAAGTCTAACTTGTATAGAAGACCGAAATGCTATTAAATGTTTAGGTTAAAGTGTGTGAATGGCAATTTTATATAGACCAAGTGATATACTTATGTAGGTAATTTATAGGAAGCACTTAAAGTGATGAGCACTGTTAATTTTATTGTTAGTCTGTTAACGCTCTTTTACTTAAAGTTTACATTAATATGCTTGAAACTTTTACAGAGACTGTTTGTTCATCTATAGGATAGAGACAGAGTTCGATCTACTACAGTTGCAGTCCCTGCTAAACTAATGCTTAATGTTACTGTTAAATGTATAACATATATAATTGACTTTTTTGTTTATGTTATTGTTACTATTACAGCTACTGTTACTGCTTCTAGCTACTCTTATTTCCCTTATTACCGCTACTGTTACTGTTACTTAAATTTCTGTTAATGTGAAGGTTACTGTTTCTCGTAATTCTTATCTTACTGTAACCTATAACTGACATTGCAACTGTCTCATAAATTTAACATACGCAATCGGTTCGTATTGCAATCAGCCCAATGTCTAAGTTACTTTGACTGCCACTCTAGTTGCTATTGTTGTTATTGAAACTTATCCCTTTACAGATATTGCCACTAGCAATGTTCCTATTACTGTTATGCTTACTGTTACTATTGTCATAAGCCCTTTTACTGTTATCAATTTTCATTCTTATATTAGCAGAACTTACCTTTGGAGTGCCACCTGCACGAATGTCGCTCACTTGACACAGCTCGATGACATCGCCATCCTGTTGAAAAAGAAAGCAAGCAAAATGGAATGAAAAACAAACGGAATATTCAGGTATATTAAGTTGTCGGGGCTGTAATACATACCCGTCCCTCACTCTTCCAATACAGGAAGAATCCATACTCATCGACTTTAAAGAGAGCATCGCGCTCAAAGTCATTCTCCTTGGTCTCCTTCTCGTTCTCAAACCAGCGGTCGAAGACGCAGCCAGTTGTCAGTTCCGGTGGCACCGGAATGATCCAATCGAATTCGTATTTCTTGGTCATGATATATACAGCTGTTGTTAAATACTATGTTTGTGTTTGTGGCTATAGCTATAGCAAAACATATATGCACATCTATATGTGTATGCCTAACGGTATGTTTGGTATATTGTTTGTGGCTTAGCGGTAAATCGGTTTATCGGCTTATCGGTGTATCGGTTTATTGTTTTATTGGTTTATCGGTGCTATTGAACCTACGTTTGGCTGTCGTATTGGCGTATTTGGTGTTTTCTTGGTTATGGTTACTATTTCGGTTTGGCAACACTGACACATGTTAAATGGGGCAACACATTGAGCTAACTGAGTGTTTGACAACGTATTTACGATAATTTATACAAATATATAACTATGTTTTCTTCAGTTTTTGTAGGTCACATTGTGTTCTTTTGTTACAAAGTTGAACTAATTTCCAGTTATTTTCCTATCGCTTTTTATTTTTAATTGAAATTTGAGTTCTAGTCACAAGTTTTAGTTGTTGATGTTAGTTTATAGTTAACTTTAAGCGTATTTGATTTGGTGTTGTTGTTGTTGTTGTTGTTGTTGTTATTATTGTTTTTGTTGGTTTTATTGAAATTGTTGAGCTGCAAGGAAACAAAATATAAATACAAATTAGAGAGTTTTGTGCAAAACGGAAGCCTTAAATTAAATTAAATTAAATTGCAAGGAAATATAAAACACAAAGAAATGTTCAGGAAACAAAGTGGCAACGATTTCGGCATACCCTGTAAGTATTATATCACAGCTATACCTTGACCAGGAGATGAACACAAGAATAAGACAATATAATATTTTGTTGAAAATGTGTATTTTTAAAAACAGTCAGTATACTCATGTTTTTACATATTTAAAACAAGAAACTTCGCCCATACAGCCTTTGCCCAAAAGGTGAGATCGATTTCCAGAAGTTAAAAACACGGCTCAAAATCACGTTCACAAAGATCTTAAAAAACACGTGTGAAATCGATTGGTGGATAAAAAACAGTATAATGCAATCGATTTCCAATCTTTTTTCACGCTTGCTTGGACGGATTGATATACATACATACGCCTCTAGTTAATCAATTGTTTATTGGTTCATAAAGGAGGTTTTAAATGAAGCCGTCTTTGTTTACAGCATATTCCCCATTTAGTGCTGCCATTACAGGGTATAGAAAACGGGTTGGAGAATCAAATAAAATTGAATGCAGAAAACACTTGGCTCACATACAACAAAATGTCCGTCCAGCTGTATCCTGGACTGTTATTTGGCTGGGGGTTGTGGTTGTGGTTATGTTTGCATGCTTGTCCCCTCCTCGCTGTGTGCGGTTGCGTTGCATTGCCAAACTGAACATATGAGGCGAATGTGTGTGTGGGTGTATGTGCAACATCTCAAATCTAATTGAAAATTTGAGACTGGAAATTTCAATTTCTGTATAAAGTTCTCGCATGTTCAAAAGCAGGCGGCAAAATGTTTAGATATACCAGCTTTTATTAGAATTCAAACTAAGGACTTTATTTTTAATAAATATATTTTTAGATTCTTGAATTCTTGAGAACTATATACTCAGTTATTCTTATGTGTGGCTTCTAGGGGATTGAGAAAGCCTTCTGTTATATAGCTTGAGCCTTAAGCAAAATGCTAGCAGCATATTTGTATTACAGACACAGTAGAGAGCTGCTAATACACATATAAAAATTAAAACACTTACGAGTGGGGCACAAATATTAGCTGCAAGAGATAGCAAGAGAAAGAGAGACAGAGTGAGGGTAAAAGAGAGCGAGAAAGCAAGCGGGAGTGTAACAAAGCAAAGCAGCCAGTGAAACGTTTATGAAAGAAAAGAGAATTGAAGGGAAAATGAGTTAAGGAGTTAAGTATTTGAAGAGGACTGTTTATAAGTAAATAGGAAAGATTTTTCAGTGGGTCGACTGCAGAATAGAAACAAATTAATAAAGGGAACACAAAGAGAAAGAGAAATAGATAGACAGAGAGAGAGAGAGAGAGAGAGAGAGAGAGAGAGAGAGAGAGAGAGACCATTCAGACGTTCTATGGCTAAACAAAGCAGCCAGTGAAACGTTAACGAAAGCAATCAAACGTTACACTTTAACGAGCCAAAGAAATGTGTGTGAAGTAGAGTACACTCTATAATAACCAGCAATGGTCGTTCGTAGCAGATATTCACCTTATGGCAAGCGAGGGGATTGGTGGAAGAGCCAACTGAATTGCCTATTAGCATTATACAAATGCACAAAAGCAACAATAGTAACGCACAGACTTACGAATTGTTCAATTGGCTCTGCAATTTGTTGTGCATGTGCCAAAAGAGATTTACAATTCCAATTTTTTTTCGCTTTTGCTTCACACTTTTTTATTTGACAAGCACTCGACATTGTCCTTTGCAATGCAATTGTCACGCCTCTCAAAGAGCCAGGCAGACAAAAAAAAAAAAAAACGCCTTGGACTGACTGATTGCTTGCCGGTGTGTGCATGTATAAGATGAGTGTGTGTGTGTGTGTGCGTGTGAGTGTGTGCTTTCACATGACTTCAAATTCAATGAGCTGCAAAATGTTCGCTCATTGTTAAACTTGAAGCTCGTTAGCGCCAAAGCCAGCCAGCCAGAGGTAAGCGAGTGCTGTGTCTGTGTCTGCGTGTGTGTGTGTGGATGTGTAAGTGTGTGTGTGTGTGTGGTTGTGTGAGTGTGAGTGTATACAAAGCGGATATGATTTCCCAGCGTATGTCAAAATACTTTCACGCCCAGCGAACATTTTATGAATTTACGTTCTTTGCGCTTTTGAACTTACCCAAAAAAAAGAAAAGAAAAAAAAAATAAACACCGTCGCGATTTTCACAGATCGAATCAAATGCGCAGAGATATGGAAACTTACGGCTCAAGTTTCAAATAGCTCAATAACGAGTTGATGTAAGCAAGTTTTGTGTTTACAATTTATAAAGTAATCAACCGAAACATATCCTTAAATTACTTTTACGAAATTACTTTTGCTGAATTAGATAAATTATGACCTATAGGGTGTTCTTTCGTTCTGTTTGCATTTCCACTCGAAGCTCCAACGAATTTTAATGGAATTCATACGTTTCCACTTGGAACTTATGTTTTTTTTGTATTTTAACAGAAGTTATGTGAGTTAGTTGAGGGTTTGCCTCATCATGCTTACCTCCTTTCTCTCTCTCTTATAAGCCTAAGCTCTATATATAAAACTGTTTGTTCCGACTAACTGAGCTAGGAAGCTGAAATTTTCGTCATGTGATGAAGGTGCAGTTTAAGACGGCGTTTGGGAAGTTCCACTCGCATGTGTGGAAAAACCGCGAAAATCGTTTGTATGACACTATTTTGTTTACTATCCGATAGGCTTAAAACTCATTTTCAGACTTCGCAAAAAAAATGCATTTCATTTTTACAAATGGGGATCAAGATTTGAGTCTGCATATAACATATGTGTATGCCTGTTTGTTCATATATGTATGCATGCTTGGTATGTATATATGTAAGCAGGCAAGCATGCATACATGTTTGAATACATGTCCGAATACCTACATACATGCACACATGCATACATATTTTAACATACATGCATGTATGTATGTATATATGTATGCATTTTTGCATAAATAAATATATGCATGCATGCATATATGTTGTGTGCATGTCTGCATATATATGTATGCATGTTTGTATGTATTTATATATATATATATATATATATAAATATATATATATATATATATATATATAAATGTATTCGTGTCTGTTTGTATACATGCGAACTAGCATACATACATACATATGAACTTACATATGCAAGTATGTACATATGTGCATATATACGCATGTACATTCATACATGCATGTACATTCATACCTGCACACATATATGTATGTACACGCGTACATACACTCATATATGTACAAAAAAAAAAACAATTCCAACAAATATACCAAAAATTAACAAAAAAATACCAAAAAAATAAAACAACACTACGAGCTAAGCATGGAAGTCTGCAGAGCCTACATAAAATTTTGAGAATCGAGGAGTAGAGCACTTGGTAGAAATTCGTTTTGCTTAAATTTGCACAGCGACAAATAAACTTGATCTGCTTTTGCCATTAGAAAACAAATATGCATGCATACATATAGACATCAATGCATACATACACTAACACACACACGCCCATACACAAACACACATGTATATACACACACTCAAACAGACACACACATATATAATAATTATAACACTATGCTAATCTATGCCTGCAAATCAAATTCATATTTTGATACACTCCATAACACATAAACGCATATATGCACACATAAATTCATACATACATACATAGATGCATAAACATACAAATATCTAAACGTAATTTGTTAATAAGACTTGCAAATTTGTCAATTTATTTCATGATTTTTTTTTATCTAATTTTAATATTCAATTTTATTGGAAGTTAAGCTTTATCATCTTCTTCTGCCTGTTGATGTTAATGTTCTTGTCGGTGTTAAGTATTTGACTAACAATTTGCAGCAACAATATTGTGAAATCCGTGTCGGCAGCTAATTTTCATAAGATTTCACTGGCAAACGACTAACTGACTATATATATACTCAGAAATTGATAGACATTTCTCTGATCTAATCAGAAATTAATGGAGATTTTTCTAAATGATACCAAATAATCAAACATGAAAACATGAATTTGCTGAACGATTTGAAATCGCTAGCATAATGCGATTTGAAAAGTAAATCCATCCATATTTGTGATTTCACTACAAATTTTAAGTTGAAATATATTTTCAAGTTATCATAATAAATAAAAACCTGAGGGCGATATTTTTGCCAATACAAAGCAAATTCAAAGATAGTTTATTGCAGGTAAAGAGGCAGCACAACTATTCTTAGACAAAGAGCTCCTCTAGTCCATCGTTAAGGACAGGGTATACGCACAACTGTGGGCGTTTACCAGCTGCATGAGTTCTTGTAGTTTATCGCTTGGCCTTGCCATTTGGCATTAAATGCAGACACAAAATCAAAGCATTGCCTCTCGGGTCAAACCACTGCCCCCTACCAACTAACCACACACAGTGCCACGCCCCATCGCACATAAAGCAAAGCACACCTCGCCTCGAACGCCTCTGGGCACCTGTGTCAATATATATGTATATATGAGCTGCAAAAGTTTGGCGCCCCAACTTGAAAGGTAAGCGCAGCGTTGATGGCGCCTGCAGGGTGTGGGTTGCAGTGGGTGTGAAGTAGGACAAGAAATAACTTGCATAAACTTGCCCTCAAAGGACTCTCGCAAACACACACACACACACACACACATACGTATAAACGACGCACGTACCGCTGAAAGTATGCTACAAATATGCTCATTACGTGCGCTCCAAGTGGCAGAGGCAAGCCCCTCTACCCCCCTTCGTGCCTACCCACTCCTAATTTGCTCCACCCCTTCCGCACGCACGCCCCTGACAAGCCATACGCACAGCAGCGACAATGGCTCAATTTATTATTGCATTTTTTGTGGCCATATTTCACCTATTCGCGTTTTTTTTTTTTTTATTTTTCATTTTCGGTCGCTGC